AGCCGCGAGCTCACCACCAGCGCCCCGCTCGCCCCGCTCACCTCCACGCTCGCCCGCCGGCCCCCAGGCACCAGCCGCAGCCGCCGCGCCTCCGCCTCGCCCGCCTCCAGCCCCAGGTCCTGCGCCACACGGCCCACCACCGTCCCGGCCTTGGCTTCCTCCGGCACCGAGTACCGCACCTGCCCCGAGCACAGCGCCCACGCCGCCTGCACCGCCACCACCCGCAACACCGCACCCCACACACACTCGCCCATCGCCGCCGCACACGCCGCTGCTGAATTCGGACCCCGCACGGGCCCCGCACGGCTCCCGCCGCCGCCCGCACGCACCGGCTCCGCTGCCCGGCCCCAGCCGCCCCCCCGCGCTCACAGCCGGGCTCTCCGCCGCACCGGGAAGGAGCCGCCCACACGCCCTTCCCGAGCCTGCAGCGACACCGTGCGCTGCTCCGCCGCCTCACACGCTCCCAACACAGCGCCCAAGCCTCCACATCTCCTCTGCCGGCTCTTCCCACTGAGCTTCTCTTCCTTTCTCTTTTTCTTTGCCTGTTTTGTCTTTCCTTCCTCCTTTTTCCTTCGTCCTTTCTCTTCCTTCTTTTATCCTTCTTTCCTTCATTAGTTACCTCTTTTCTAGTTTCTTTCTTTTTATTTTTCTCCCCTTTCTTCTTTATTCTCTTCATTCTCATTTTTGTGCTTGCGGTGCCTTACCCTTCTCTATTGTTCCTCCTCTCTTCTTTACCCCCGCTGGCAGCTCGTCAGTCACCTCGGGTGCTGCGGTTTAGATTATTAAAGTCGGAGCAATTAGCACTAATTACGGGACATCAGCGCCGGAGCGTGGTGCTCTGACCAAGGCGGAGATTGTTTGGGACGAATTCCTCTCGAGGTCTAGAGATAAGGTCGGTGCGTACTGGTCATCTGGACTGTTTCGTCTGTCTCTCTCCATTCTTCCTTCTTTGTTTACCCTAATTTCTTCCCCACCTTTCTCCTATTTTCTCTTCTTTGTCTTCTGCTTCGTTTCCCTCCTTTTTTCCTTTCTCACCCTCCTTTCTTCTTGTGTACAGTGACACCGTCAGTGCCATGTACCTAAATCAGTTCATGGTTTCTTCCTTTCTTTCTTTATTTCCATTTATTATTTCCTTCTTCTTTGCTTCTCTTTCTCTGCATTGTTTCTTCCTTCCTTCTCTTCTTTCTCATAGTCTTCTCTTCCCTATCCTGCCCCCATTTCCTTACTTTTTTTTTCTCTTTTTGCATCTCATTTGTCTCTTTAACCGACTAGTTTTTCATATGATTCCATCACTCTCGATATGGAGCACGGACCTGTCTTTTGACAAGAGCTCTCCTTCCTCTTCCCTGCTGACTTCCATCTCTCCAGATGAGGAACAAACTTCCTGCTTTTCTGCAAGTTTATGCAAGACAGAAAGACTATCCCTTCTCCTTCCCTTCCCTCCCCTTTTGGAGTAAGGACACACTGTTCAACCCCTGTTATCTCTAAAGAGAATCCGCCACCCTCTGATAAACAAGCTCAAGCCCCGGATACTTTGACATTTGTGCAACAAAAAGGCTTTGATTACACCAAACAACCAGGGGAGTCTTTCCTTCGGGGATTCGAACTCATCCCAGCCCAGCACTCCAATCCTCCAAGAAGGCTGAAAAAAGCACAGGACCACCACAGCTCCCGAGAGCTCTTCATTTACCTCGATGAAGAGCTATTTTCCACCTGCGTGATGAATATCAAGCTCTTGCTTTTCCTTTCAGACGGACAAACTCTGCCAGAACACAGCAAGAACCTCTGTACCCAGGGTCAGAGATCTCCAGCTAGGCAGACATTTCCCAGTTCTTCACCAATGACACAATCCATGTTCTACACAGCATCTTCTTTCCTCGGGGAAGACTCTTCCCCACTCAAATTCAGCCTCCCTGCGACAAATCGCCAAGCCCTAAGCCCTACTCTGTGCTACTCGGAGGGGAGGATCACTGCCACAGCACACAGATAATGCCCCATCACAACAAAATAGCTCAGAAATTAAAACAAACAAAAAAAGTTACTGTCTCCCCTTTCCCTCCCCGGCAAAGCCGCTTATGTGGCTGTCAGAGGATTTTTTTTACCACCACATGAAGATTCAGGGCAAAATCTTCCACCTGCTAACACAGTTCTCATCTGCTCTCATTCACACCGGCCCCACGGCCACAGCACCTCTCTCAGGAGGACTAAGGATAAAAGCGATCTCTGCCGTCACCTCTGTAGCTCCTGTACACAAACCCCGGTTCAAAACATTATTTCATACGATTGTCATACTGACCTTTTTGTGTTCCTGATGGACTGATCTCCGCGGTGCCGCCGGTAAACAAAGAAACCTGTCACTGAAGGTTGTCAGGCTTTCCGTGGACATTAATGATGCTTTGATTCCAGATCCATCCCTGATGCCATTTTTTGTCTGGCTTATGCCATCAAAGCAAAGATGAATTCTTTTTACTGCATCTTTGTAACTTACCTGCGTTTCCTTATCCCGACAAGTGACTCTTTTCTCCCCGAGGAAGACATTCAGAGAGATAATGTTTCATATCCAAAATCCTGGTGAATTAGGCTTTGAAGATAAAGAGTTGTCTTCCCCTCCAGCACTTCTCTCGAGCAGTGCAGCCCACGGTAAAACAGCAAAAGGAGCCTCTGGCAGACACTGCTTCTGCTGAGGACTCGGATTTATTAAGCCCATTAGCACGTCCCTATGTCATTCCTAACGCCCACAGGGGTTTTGTTCTTCTCTTCCATGGTTTAGGTCTGCAGACTCACGCTCTCATTGCCACAGACCACGGGTAAACAGACACGAACAAACCCATCCTACCAAGTAGAACAGCATTTGTTAACTTCTTCCAAGTGCAGACACTTGAATTGACCTTTTTGATAACACAGAACTGGTGAGAAAGACCCTGCACAGCACGAGTTTTGCCAAGTTGATCCGGAGACACGTTCCCAACCTCTTGAATTTCCTGGAGTTTTCCGTCGGTTTGTTTTGATTTCTGTAGCAAAAGGATATAAAGATTTGGGTAGAGATCACAGCCTTGACTCAAGGGAAAGAAGTAATGCTGGGGCAGATCTTCTATCAACAAATTAATCACATTTGCTCCATGTGAGTCCTAGACGAGAGGTGTTTAAGGAGGACAGATTTCGGGGTTTGGCTTAGGTATTTTTGGTTTGTTTGTTTGGGGTTTTTGTTTCGTTATGTTTTGGTTGAGTTTTGTTGTTTGGTTGGTTGCTTTGGTTTTTTATTTTTGTTGTGGGTTTGTTGCTTTGGTTTTTATTTTTGTTGTGGGTTTGTTTTGTTTGGTTGCGTTTTTTTTCCTCCCACGCTTATCTTCTTGCTAAATTAATTCACTTACCTTGAATAAGTAGGTCTTCTCTGGAGAAATACTTCATGCCATATTAACGGGGAGGAAAATGTAATGCTGAGGTCAGCAAATTTGATTGACAAGTATCTTTAGAGCTGTACTAGGGTCTAGGTTAAGCTTGCTGTATGTAAAATGTAGTAGGATGTTTTTAATCAGTAAAACAGCTGTTACTGAGATGACCAACACTGATGTCAAGGATACAGGACTCGGTGCCCCTTCTCCTGGGGTCTGAACACTTCTCTGTATCGTTTTCATATCCACCAAGTAGCAGCTTCTCTAAATGGTCCCCCAATGCCGAAGATCTGAGCTTAGCTAGTGAAAAACGTGCAGTGAAACAGATAAAGGATCCAGGATCACCTACAGGAAGAGTTGTTTCTTGTTTCCTCAAATCCAGACCATGAGAGATTCTCGTATTCTGATGAAATCCAGTTACTACCTGAGTAGCAGTGTAGTAGTGGATGACATTGGCAAATCCTTATGCACTGTAGCATTGCACTACTACCACAGATGTACAGCTAAGTTGTTTTTTATACCACCTGCATCTATATGATGAGAAGTCCCAAAGGTCACAAGGAAAAGCTGAGATGATCCTGCAAAAAGCATCCGAGATGGTGGAAGGTGTAGTTTAGCTACTTCAACTTTGGTCTGTCTCAGAGCATGCCCAGTGCCTCTGACCGAGCAGCAAGATGTGAAGAGTGGTGATCCATACCGAGAATCTGTAAAGAAAAATCAATATAAACTACTCACCTTTACACCCTGAAAGCCTGGGCGTTACTCTGAGCCTCCTTCATTGGGCAGGAAGGGATGAAAGCCTAATTAAAGACCTGCAAAATAATAACCACGTGTTTCGGCATCCGAAGTTCAGGTCACCCACCAAGAGCTCGCGGAGTGACCGCTGGACTCCTGGAAAAGCAGGTACAGCGAACACAAATCAGAAGGTTTGTCCTGTCGTTCTTTAGACAGCAGAGAGACACACGGACTTTTCGAGGGATGTTTGGAACGCTCTATTTCAATCCCCGCTGAAATGACAGCATGACTTCAGTTACACTTCGAGACAAGAAATGGAGAATCGGCAAGAGACGGTAAAGCAGCAGCTGGGGGAAAATCGCTCCCGTGACACAGGACACTTCCAGCTCTACCATCCCGACTAGGAAAGTGCCGCACAGCAGCTCCACATCAGCCGGCTCAGGGTGACTGTCTCCGTCGGACCGGGATCCGGAAAGAAAAGCCCGTCCCCTCCTGAAGGGCAGGCGAGCTCCGAAATCACAGCGTCGGATTTATCTTCGGGTCCTTCTCGCCTCTTTAACGTAGTTGGGCGGTTAGAGCACGGCACAGAAAAGCCGGGGTCAGGTTTCAAAGCCTCCTGAGACCGAAAGCTTTGAAAACAGCATCTCATTAAAGAGTGCTCTAATCACTAAGAGAGGAGTTGCTCGCATGGGTCCCATCGCTTCTTCGGGGGGGGCATTCCGCCCTCGGCAATGCCGGTGCGGGCCGAGGAAGGGGATGACCTGGTGACACCCACCGCCACAGGGTTTAGTCTTCCCTTCTGCACATCAACCTCGGCAACGGCCGAATATAACGGGGGCAGGCTCGGAGAGCATGGAAAGGACACTAAACCCGTCCATTTCCACCTCTGTCTCCGGGATGCTGGCAGAGCTGGGACCCCGGCCGTCCTCGGGAAGCTGCCGGCGATGCTCGTCGTCGCTCCCGCAGACGCTGCTGCCGCTCGGCCGGTGACCGGACCCGCCGCGGGACCCGCACAAGGGTCCTGCTGCCGGCCCCGAGCGGCCCCGCTCTCCTCGGGAAACCCAGCGCCTTGTCCGCTCCTTCATCCCGGGGAGCGGCCCGGCTCCCCCGCCGCCATCTGCGGGAGGAGGAGGGCGGCACCGGTCGGAAAAGGGCATTAATAAAATATATTA